ATGAAATAGATATGAAATATATATATGAAAAATGAGAAAATTTATATATATAAAATATATGAAATAGATATGAAATATATATATGGAAAATGAGAATATTTATATATATGAAATATATATGAAATATAAAAAAAATATTAAAAACGTGAAATCTGTATGAAATACATGAAAAAATGTGTGAAGAAAATGAAACTGCTTTTTAACCTGCCCGGTTTTTGAAAGTGGGTTGGGAATGAAGTTTTTCCAGCCCTTGGGAATCTCCCATAAGTGACTCCTGGGGATTAAAAATAACTAGAAAAAAGGCTCTTTTTTCACACTGAAAACCTCCAAACTCACCCAAATTTGACCCCCAGTGTCCCCCCTGGGCTGGGAATTCCCCTGGGGAATCCTGGGTGTCCAGTGCTGGTGCTTTCCCACCCATTCCTTAAAAAAAAAAATCTCCAGGAAAAGGAAAATCCAGGGAAAGTGATGAGGAACTGGTCCCGGGTACCTTTTCCAGGGAATTTTTTTGGTGAGGGCTGGGATGGAGGGTCCTGGCCTTGAGCTGGGTGGAATCTTTTAGGTGCAGTTGGATCGTTTTCCTGACTTTTTTTCCCTGCCCTTGAGTTAATTGAACCCCTTTTTAAAGGAATGCTGAGTTTCCAAGATTGTTGGAACCGTGAGAGGGTTTGGAGCATCCCGGTCTAAGGATCCTGGCACAGGGTGGGATTGGGTGGGATTTAAGGTCCTTCCCACCCCATTCCATGATTCCCTGTCTCTTGTCCCCCCCCCTCAGTGCGATCCCTACGTGAAGATTTCCGTGGGAAAGAAATCCATCAACGACCAGGAAAATTACCTGCCCTGCACCCTGGAGCCTGTCTTTGGGAAGTAAGTGTGGATTCACTTTGGGATCCAGGGGATTGTTTTGTGTCACGTTGAGGGAATTGTGCTGGATGAGCCAGAGCTTCCCATTCCAACCTGCACTCGAGGCTGGATGAGGCTTGGAGCAACCTGGGAGAGTGGAAGGTGTTCCTGCCCATGGGAGGGGGTGGAATGGGATGGATTTTAAGGTTCCTCCCATCCAAACCATTCCACGATTCCCTTGGCTCTTGTTCATCTTCTCCCTGGGAATTCCGAGCTGTGGAACTGGGTCTGCTCCGTCATCAACGGACACACCAGGAGGGATGTTTAGACCTGGAATTCCCTTGTGGAGGAATAATCCCCATCCCACCAGTGGTAGAGGGAGTCCAGGGAACTTCTGCTCCTCGTTTAGGGAATTTGGTTTGATGTCTGGAGGAAAAATGGGATGGTTGGAGACCTGTTTGGGGCTGTGGGACAGGACACCTCCAAGTGGGATGTCTTGGAAAAGAGTTATCCATAAACATGGTTTCCTGAGGCAGTTCCTGCCAGTTCAGGCTGCCAGTGACACCTTCCCAACAAAGCAGGATGGACAGGGTTTAGATGGGATATTGGGATGAAATTCCTGGCTGGAAGGGTGGGGAGGCCTTGGCATAGGTTGGGCAGAGAAGCTGTGGCTGCCCCTGGATCCCTGGAAGTGTCCAAGGCCAGGTTGGAGCAACCTGGGAGAGTGGAAGGTGTCCCTGCCCATGGAACTGGATGAGCTTTCAGGTCCCTCCCAACCCAACCCATTCCATGATTCCATGATAAACTGAGCCAACATGACACAGCCCTGGCACTGTTGGGTGTTGGGATGGGGAGTGGGTCCATCCCACTGGGGTGTTGGGATGGGGAGTGGGTCCATTCCCATTGGTTAGGATGGGGAGTGGGTCCATTCCCACTGGCACTGGGGTGCTGGGATGGGGAGTGGGTCCATCCCACTGGGGTGTTGGGATGGTGTCATGGTTTGAGATTTGGTTCAAACCATTACAGATGGGGAGTGGGTCCATCCCACTGAGGTGTTGGGATGAGGAGTGTGTCCATTCCCATTCCCACTGGGGTGTTGGGATGTGGAGTGGGTCCATCCAACTGGCACTGGGGTGTTGGGATGGGGAGTGGGTCCATCCCACTGGTGTGTTGGGATGAGGAGTGTGTCCATTCCCATTCCCACTGGTGTGTTGGGATGGGGAGTGGGTCCCTCCCAGGGTCTCCCCCATCCCATCCATGTCTCCCACCCCGTGCAGGATGTTCGAGCTGAGCTGCACCCTGCCCCTGGAGAAGGACCTGCGGGTGGCCCTGTACGACTACGACCTGCTGTCCAAGGACGAGAAGATCGGGGAAACCGTCATCGACCTGGAGAACCGGTTCCTGTCGCGCTATGGGGCGCGCTGCGGGCTGCCCCAGACCTACTGCGTGTGGGTACTGGGGCTGGGGGGCTCTGGGGGGGCACCAGGGGGGTCCCAGGGGCACCTGCTTGGGGCTGCACTTCCCCCAGTGCTGGTTCTCCTCCAGGAGCCCCAAATGAGGCAAATAACCTGGAAATCCTCCGGGAGATCCCGTCACCCCCCCGGTGTCTCCCGGTCCCACCGTGCTGGGGACGCTCCCCATGCACAGCCTGCCCGGGGGGAGTTGGTGATGCCCCGTCCCTGGGAGTGTCCAAGGCCAGTTTGGAGCAACCTGGGATGGTGGAAGGTGTCCCCTGCCCCTGGAACTGGGTGATTTTGAAGGTCTTTCGAACCCAACCCATTCCATAACTCCGTGGTCCTGTTTGGTTTCAGCTCCGGGCCCAACCAGTGGCGGGACCAGCTCCGCCCTTCCCAGCTGCTCCACCTCTTCTCCCTGCAGCACAACTACAAGGCTCCCACCTACAAATCCGACCGGATCATCTTCAGGGATCAGGAGTACGTCCTGTCTGAGCAGGGTAAGGGCACTGGGATCTTTTGGGATAGCAGAGTTTCCTTCATCCAGAGCAAGGGGTGGAGCTGGAGGCCAGAACAGGTTGGTGGCACATCCCCATCCTCCCCACCTCCCTGGCCAGCTTGGATCTGCACCATTCCCAGGCTTGGCCGTGCCCCAAACCCTGGGATTGAACCCAGACCTGCAATGCAGCCACGGGAACATTGACCTTGGGTGACTTCCCTGGGCTGCGGGAGCTCTGAAGTCCATCCTGGGCTGAGAAGCTCCAGCCTGATGTTCCAGCTGCTGGAGGAGCAGCTGTGCCATTGGAATCTCGTTTTGGGTCACTAGATGGAGACAGGATCACACACACAGTGCCCAGGGATCCCCTCAGGGCTCAGGAAGCCTGGGGGGCTCCAGCTGGAAGGGCAAAACCAACCTCTGCCCTATCTGGGAATATCTCTGAGGCCTGGGGAGGTGTTTTCTTGTTTGCACAAAAACCACCCCAACACTGACCCTTTGACCACCCTGGGCATCACCTCGTGCCCCTCTGACCCACACACCCTTGGGGCAGGAGTTGCCTCTGTGAGAAAACTCTGCTTTAAGGCATAAAAGGGGTGTTTAGGCCCCGGGGGGACCATGGAATGGTTTGGGTGGGAAGAGACCTCAAAGATCATCCCGTTTTAACCATGGCAGGGACACCTCCCACTATCCCAGGTTGTTCCAGCCTGGCCTTGGACACTTCCAGGGATCCAGGGGCAGCCACAGCTTCTCTGGGAAATTTATTCCAGCGCCTCCCCACCCTCACAGCCAGGAATTCCTTCCCAATTTCCCATGACAAATTTTATTGTGGCAGTATTGGGGCCACCACATCAAGGGGGTCGTCAGAGGCACAAAACAAGGCACAACCCAGTGCTGATCCCTCTCCTGCTCTTGGGAATAAAGGTCTAAATTCCTGGTTTTCCCTGAGGAGAAGGAAGAGGAGGAGGAGGAGGAGGAAGAGGAGGAGGAGGAGGAAGAGGAGGAGGGCAGCAGGGGGTTTTCAGCTGGGGCTGGGAAGGTGTTGGAGCAGCGGGTCCCCCCCGTGCCACCCCCTGCCTTTCACCTTCCTCTGCTTTAATGGCAGCGAGTTCAAAGAGCAGAACAAAGTGTGGAGCTTGACCTGGAGGAGATCTGGGAACCAGCTGTGAGCTGGGCTGGGCCAGGAAACCACAGCAGGGCTTTTACAAGCGTCTGCCCCGGCCCCTCAGCCCACAGCACCACCAGCCCCTCAGCCCACACTCCCCCAGCCCCTCAGCCCACAGCCCCCCCAACCCCTCATCCCACAACCCCCACCCTTCATCCCACAGTCCCCCCAGCCCCTCATCCCACAACACTGCCAGCCTCTCATCCCAGAACCCCCCCGGCCCCTCATCCCACCCCTCTCCTGGTCCTTCATCCCAGAATCCCCAGCCCCTCATCCCACAACCCCCAGCCTTCATCCCACACTCCCCTGGCCCCTCATCCCACAACCCCCACCCTTCATCCCACAACACCACCAGCCCCTCATCCCACACCCCCTGACCCTCATCTGACACACCCTGATCCCTCACCCCACACCCCCTGGCCCCTCATCCCATTACTCTCCTGGTTCTTCATCCCAGAACCCCCAGCCCCTCATCTCACAGCCCCCCACCCCTCATCCCACACCCCCTCGACCCTTCGTCCCACAGCCCCCCACTCCTCATCCCACAGCCCCCCCACTCCTCATTCCACATCCCCCAACCCCTCATCCCACACACCCCAATGCCTCATCCCACAGCCCCCC